CAGTCTCCGCACAGGCCGAACGGCAGCGACGGATGCAGCTCCTTATCGTCGGCAAGACGGCAAACAGATCCACGCCTGCCGCTCAGCCCGCGAGCCATCCTCCCCCTGCCCGACTCAAGGTCCCCGGCGTACTTGCCTCCCAGCGTGCCGTGGTGGGAGGGAGGAGGACATCACTCCCGTGCTCCTGGCTGTTATGGGGTTGAACGCTATCACGCGGAATGCGGGGTTTCCGCAGGACTCGCTCTCTTTAGCATGCGGATGGCTTAAAACAACAAACAGGAGGCCCTGAGAGACAGAGGAAAAACAGACATCACTAAAACCAACAGCACGAGGGGAAAAAGCCCAAAGAATTTTCCAAAAATTAATTGCTACATTCCGTCCCTCATCGACGCCCCGTGGACAGCAATGCGTTATTTTCACCGAGCAAACCAGAAATGGTTGACTTTCCCCATCAAACTAGATGAAACCCAGAGCAGCTGCTGACTGATAAGGGCTGAGGCAACACAGCGCAGCGACAGCTCAGCGACCCAGCGGATTTATGCCCTTCGCTTCCTGCCCGAAAAAGCCAAACTTGCTGACAGAGGAGGTGACAGTTGAAGTTTCCGGGCTTCATTTTAACCCCTAGGAGCTTAGCATTTAACGAGAGTTCCATGCAAACCAGCACAGCTGAAGACAGTGGCTCTGGGAAGCGCGACAGGGCAGCACGAAACAGCCCGGCACAGCGATTCTGAGGGAGTCTCCCAAGAGCCTGACTCGGGCCGTCATGGCCAGCCCAGACGCTCTCGTCCCAAAGGGTTAAATGCTCACTGAAAACAATCAAATCCCTGATAAACAATAAAAATCCAGCCAGAATCACAGCACAGGTGGAAGCTGGTGGGAAAGAATCATCAGTACGAGTCTTGGTTTGAGACTGTTGCTGCCCTCGGGGGGACGTGTAAATCCCAACCACTCTGCTTTCTGAGCACGGCAGTGTGCCATCGCCATGCCGGCAGCTCCCCACTCATGAAGTGGGAGGGACCCACCAGCACCCGGCAACTTCTGCTTCCCACGTGCAAGAAGCTGCTGCTTTGGAGTATGTTACTCCCGTTTTCCTAGTATGCTGCGGAAAGCCACGAATTTGAGGTGGCCGGTGGCTTATTTCTCCTCATTAACCTGTGAGGTATCTTCAGCGTAGCTCAACAGAGCTGGCACTTCAATTCACCCTAGAACCCTGATTCTTTAAGTCTCCCCACAGCTGGCCAGCGCGTGTCCTGTACATACGGAGTCGGAATACGCTCGGTGGCAGAGGGAAGCTGGGTAGGAGTAACCAACGTGCATCTTCTTCAGGAGCTGGCCCGTTTTCAAGTTCCTGCAGCGGTGAAAACACAAATTCCGACTGCGTTTCCATCCTTCATCCTGTGTGATTTCCTAATCAGTTACACCACCAGGCAAGACGGACGCTGTTTTGGTTTCAGATAAACCAGACTAAGACAAGGGGCCCCAGGAAGGGATGCAGCGACCGGGATGTGGAATTCGAGCAGCTTAGCTCCTCCCGTTACCCAGCCGGGCAGAAGTTAAGGTGCCAGGCTGAGGCCCTCTGACAATCCCCGTTCCTCAGGCAAACCAGGTGCCAAGCATCCCCTACCCCACGCCTGCCGCTCGCCGTCACAGCCACCCCGCACGCCTGCGAGCGGGATGGGTTACTCGCAGAGGGCTGACTGACCACACGACGACGCTGTTCGCTGCGGTGCTGCCAACCAAGGCGTCTGGCATTCCTTCTACTTCAGCAAAAGCTAAAACCGTCTCTTCGGGAGGCATCAAGGTCTGTCTGTCCTTGCTCCTGAACAGCGGGTTAGCACGGGAGGAAAGGCACTAAAGTCACTGAGCGCTCTGTACTCCGCACACCTCCAGCAGGGAGAGGAACCCGACGCTTTTCTTCCACCTGCCCCCCTCCGAGACCCCCCAAAACCAGCAGCCTCACCTTCCCGTCTCCGAAAGCAACACTGCTTCCACCTGCTGCTCGCGCACGGTCCTGCTGCTGCTGACCAGCCTCCTACCCCTCAGCCCGAGAACTGCTTTTATATTTCCGGTTTTCAGCGGGGACTGGTTGAATGAGTCGTTCTCAGGGGAATACAGCAAGAGCCTACACTGAGAGAGAAGCACGCTTAGTGACAGGAGGAAGCAGAAGTCAGCCGTGCCACAGCGTATCAAAATAAGCACGTTTACACCCTCTGCCACCTCTAGGGGTGAATAAGCAAGTCTTTATGGTTGGCTTTTAGAAATCCCTCCCATATCTTCCAGCTGTTTAAGTGACTGAAAAAGTGACACATTAGTAAAAGAGAATTTCAGCCACTACACAAGAGGAGAGTTAAGCTGCAGCTATTCAGGGTGCAAAGTGCTAGTAAGAAACGAGTACACCACCTTATCTCCCCGATCTCCAAATCTCCCAGTGCTACACACACCAGGTTACAGGTGTCCGGCAGAGGAACGATCTGTATCACAGGAATCTAGGACAGCAAAGCAAGAATCCAGTGTCACCCACAACGTCCCTTTGATGTTACTGCCGTTTTCTAGAGCGATTAGCATCAAACGATATGGAGCAGAACTGATTTTCACCCCCATCTGAAGTACATTTAGATTAACAATCCCTGTGGATGTGAGACAAAGAGGTCTTCAGGGAGCGTAAGGGGAAACAGAGTAAGTCAGTGGCTGGAACCACCGTTCAGTACATGGACTACCAAATTCCAGCAGGCAGCATGCGGCCACACGAGCTGCTGGCCTTCTCCATCAGCAGTGCGAGTCGTTCTCTGCTGCCTGACGGAATGAAAAATTCAGGCCACCTAAAGAACCCACCCTGCACCCAAGACTGCAAGCTCCTTGTGTCTTGGGCAAGAACGAACTCGCCGGGGCCAGACCGTTGCCGTGAGTTCTAGGAATACGGATTGTGCTCATACCTCTCTGAGCTGCCAAGTGTAGAACTTTCCCCAGCCGTCGGGTGCCAGAGGTTTCCAGAGGGAGACAGAACTCTCACAAGCAGTGACCACACACAGCTCCCTGCCGCCAGCCGCTTCCCACCACGTGGTGCTCACGTCCACCGCGCAGGAGCTGGAGGAATCCTGTCCGAAACACAACAGCGCTGGCTTTCCCGGACACGGAGGTTAGATGGAGAAAAACGCTTGACGCTCAGTGTGACGCGGGTTTGAGTACAGCATCAGGAAGGCACCACAGAAAACAAGGTAGTTTCACCCTCAAAGCAGCAGAGATTGGGTCACTTCCCCCAAAAACACCTGTCACCTGAAACAACAGGGACCCCGCTGAGCCCAGGACTGTGACGGGACGGGGGTACCAGGGCACAGCCAGGACAGGGCCGAGTGCCGCCTCCCCGCAGGCAGGCACCTGCTTCCCTTGTTGCAGCAACAGGAGAGGGGCCACGCCGCAGCACAGGCGGGGTTTAAAAGCGACCGAAGCACAGTCCTTCTCTTCTCCCACGTGACAACGTTTTCAGCTTCAGCCGGAACGGTTTTGGGCTGGTTACGCTAATCCCCCGGCGCGCTCTTTGAGAAAACGCTGCACTCCGCTATGGAAGAGCTAGAGCTGGCCAAGCTCCGGGCTTTAAACCATCTGCACGTGTTCAGACATTCGTTACTCAGAAACAACCCCTGAAACCGCTGATCAGTCACAGGGAGACGCACAGGAACTGACCTTCCACATGCTTCACCTCCAGCAAAGACAGAACTGATCAAACTGGGCAGCAGTCTGGGTTGTTCAACTGGCCACTCCGCATTTTTAGTTGCATTTGTGTTAAACTTGGCACTGAGGAGCTGCTACCGAACCAGTAAACCATCACCCAATGTCACCTCACCTTCAGCTTTGACACAAGCTCCAAGCTCTCTTCTGTCAGGCCATCAAGCAGTACTGGAGTCCACTGTTCTGCCACATCTTTCTTCTGCACAGACAAGGAGAGAACGAGGATAACCCCACTGTACAATTACATGTAGCACCTGCAAGAGTGAGTGTGAATTCACTCTGCATGCTGCTGCTGGAGAGCTGTGGTAGGAGCACCTCTTCCTGAACTTGCATGTCTTTGAAAAACAAGAAATGCCAGATGGGTTATTGCCTGATTTCACCTGAAAACTGTCTTTTAGCACAGCGTTGCATCTCTCAGCCTTCAGAGACGAGTCATTCCCTCAGTACCCATCCCACACGCGAGTCATTTAACCTCCTTTATCAAACCCTAGCTGAAAATTTTCCTTAAGGTAGACCGTGTGGGCACCAGAACCTTTGTTCACATCCATGTTTCAGACGTGCGCCCTGACACCCCCATCTCCTGCTTCCTCCAGCCCCATTTTAAAGAATCGGCTCTTGAGGACAAAAGACCTCAGGCAACAGATGAAACCCAAACGTTTACTACATCAGCTAGAGAGAGCCTGCAGGGCTGGCACACCACGAGGTCTTTCCCCTGAAGTCAGGTGAGACTTTGGAAAAGGGGATTTGCCCACAGAACCACTGGCTTGTTACCTGTTCAGGAGAAGCTCTGCAGGATCTCTGCTGTTCGCTCTCTGACTGCTGATGCTTCTCCAAGGCGACAGCCTCATCACATTTACTGTCGGGGCCTCTTTCAGCTTCTAAAGGACAAGCTGTACCTCGTTCCTCCGCTGTTGTACCAGATCCCGGACCACGGGGGTCCAAGCGCAGTGGAACGGCAGAGTCTTTGCATTCCCCATCATCCATGACCTGGGCAGGCGCTCCGCCGGAGGAACACGGGCTCGCTTGCCAGGGAGGTACAGGCGGCGTTCTGGGGAGGAGCTCGCTGCACGCTGATGGTAAAACCGCTGGGGTTGCACCCACAGCAGGGAAAACAGATGAGGAGATCGGAGACCCGGGCTGAGTGGGAGCACCAGCTACAACAGTCCCCACGGGAGTAAAGAGCAGCTCATGTGTGGAAAGCTCCTTCTTGGAAGCTGGGCTTTCTAAAGGAGACAACTTGGGCGACCCATTTTTGAAAGGTGAAATCAAATTACTGTCCAGCCTTTTTCCTTCTGGATTCACTCGTGCGGCCCCTGGAGCCGCATCATCTCCAAACACACTAGGAACAAAACCCTCCAAGTCAGTCACAGGGCAAGGTTCTAATTTCTCAAGTTTCAGTAGTCCAAATTCCTCATCCGGTAAGTCAAAGTCTGTGATGCCCAGCCTGGGGACCAGCCACTGGGGACTGCGGAAGGAGCAGAGAGCGTCGCTAGTATCGGGGTCCAGAGCAGGGAGGCCAAGAGAATCAGGATCCTCTGAACCTGCTGGATACCCACATCCTCCTTTGCTCCCACCTAGACCAAGAAAAACACAGGAATACAAGAAAGAACATCATAAAATAACCCCCCAACTTGCCTTTTCAGAACCTCCTCCAGAGCATCACTCTAACCCATTTAAAAAAAACCCCAAACCATATCCATCTTAACACATGGACAGGCCATTTTCTGGAAAGAAATTACACCCCACTACTGCTCTGCATCATGCCTTCAGCTGAAATATCATCGCCCAAGGCTGCCAGAACTGACCAACTGCTCGGTCCGTTCGCTTCGGCTGGTTCTCCCCCAGCACCTTCTCTTTGTACAGTACTGACAGCCCCTCGGGCTGCGACGCTGCCCTGGGTTTCACTTGTTGGCACTAAAAAAAGTAGAATCATGAATCATAGAATCCTTCAGGTTGGAAAAGACCTCTAAGATCATCAAGTCCAACCGTTAAACGTGCAGTTAGTTGGAGAAACAGAGTTACATCCACTTGCTGGAAAATCAGACCCAGCACATTCGCTCTAAGCACAAGGCAGCTTAAGAAGTTCTGTTATCTGCGCACGGCTGTTCACTCCCTAGCACTCTGCTGAAGCAGAAGTTTCTGGAATTGTGCAAGGAACGTGGGCACCACAATGAGCTGTTTTTAAAAAAGCCTCTCTTACTAAAGAGTCGTTAACCCACATAAAGATTTTCTGGAATGAAAACCCACGTGAGGGCACACACAGCAGCGCTGGTGTGCCCGGCCGTCTCCCCGCCTTGCTCTCGGGCTGCATTTTTAGGGAGCGCTTACAGCGACGAGGTACCTTTTGAGACTTGACCGGCTCTCCGCCTCGCAGAGGAACGCAGGGAGCGGCGCAGAGGGACATCAACCGCCAGGAGCTGCTGGGCCCTGCAGGCGCCCCGCGCGTGCTGATCCTTCCTGTGCTCCGCTGGACGCCTGTCGGCCTGACACGCAGTTAAGTTGGCTTCCAGATCTCCCATTTGGCTGGCAAAAACCTCATCCCCTGGCTTCAGAGAATCGCTGTTCTGAAGTGGATTTTGATGTTCTAACGGAGTCAGACCGCATTTGCCCAGCACTTGGCTTCCTCCAGGCAGAGGATGAGCACCCGTTGGCTGTGCAGCACCAGTCCCTTCTGCCTCCCCAGCCCCAAGAGCTGCAGCAGCAGACAACCTTCCCTCGTCTGAAGGCGACTCTTCGAGATTAGCCTCGCAGTTCTGCTTTTCGCTCTGACACTCGTCCAACAGCCGACTGCTGCTTTCCCTCGGCGTTAGGAGATTCAAGCTGTCTGCAAGTTCCGGGGACACTTGATGCGCAGAGGGCTTGCAGGCAGGCATTCTTCTCTTTCGTTTCATCTGTGACCGTCTCTGATCTCGCTTGGTGCTAGTGAGACTGTTTTGAGAACTCGATCCGAGTGAAGTGCTGCTTCCACTGGATGCAGGAAGAGATTTCTGTGGACTACCCGAATTTGCTGGGTCATTTTCTGCACCAAGAAAAGGAAACGGCGTGACCCCTGTCTGCAAATCATTTTCAACTCTCTCTTGGGGGGGCTGATCTGAATTTGCATCTTTCTGCTTGCACTTACTTCGCTGACTTTTCTTGCTTCTGCCCAGCTGGCTGAGAATTACAGCATCGAGATCCACTTTCCTCTGGCAATTAGACATGCGCCGAGTCGTCCTGACGTAGTATTCAACAGGAAAGAGAAGCCCTTCGACCACTGTGCAAGAGCTCAGGGCATTTCCAGGAGCTGTCACCTCTTCTGCAGGAGAAAGTCTTGACTGAGTTTCAAGCTGTTGGTTCTCCAACAATTCTTCAACATTGCCCAGAGCAAGGTCTGTAGGGAAGAGATTTAAGCTCTTGGTGTCACCTTGATTCTCCTCATGGTTTTTGCTGTCATTCATTATGTTGCTGTTTCCCCCAGTGGGCAACGCTTCGTCTTCTGACATTAAATCCAAGGGCCCGCATAATTCTCCCTGGTCTTCACACATACTCTCACTGTCCGTTTGTTTCATTATCCCTGAAGATTCTTTTCCTCCATCACTGCTGATGTCAAGCAAAACAGAGTCACCGTCCCCCGAAGGCGGCTGCACAGGCTCACGGTTATCAGGCGTAGCCACAGCACCCGAGGGCTCTGGCTGCCTGACATCGCGGCTGCCCCTCAGCGCACACGAGAACAGCTCAGGCGCTCCCGGGGGGACACTGTCTCCCAGCACGTCTCGTACAACCCCAAACGCTGCATCAGGAGGAGTGAAACTGTTCTCTTCTCTCCCCACAGGTGCTGGATTGGACACTCCTGGAGCGTTTCCCTCAGTGTTCGAGAGAGTGCTCCGCCTGAAGACTGGAGACCGAAGCTCCTCTGTACCGGCGACTTGATTTTTCCCCATTACACCTGTATTCCTCCTTGGACACACATCACGCATGGTTTCCCGCTCCTCTGATACCAGTGTCTTCGTCCGCCTTCTCAGCTTCAACAAACTTCTGGAGGTTTGGGTTTTTTTCTCCTCAGGGGCAGGCCTAACGATTCCACAGCAGAGCTTTTCCTGGCTGGCCGGTACGCTTCCTGCCTGCGACCTGTCCGGCAAGCTAGCCTCACTGGTGGGGAATTCAGGAACGTGTTTAAGTGTGACAGATGTCGCCTTCTCTCTGTCAGGATCAGAGTGGGTTTTAGCCTGTAACTGAGAGGTGTCATGTTTGTCAGCACCAGGAGATACATCGTCCCTAGGACCTGTGGGAAAAACGTGATGTGTGTAAAGAGGTCCCAGCAAAGGCCTGTGCAAGAAAAACATCCCACAGTAAAACCAGGTGACCCTGTTAGGAGCCAAAGACGGTGATCTTACGGTCGGGACCAGCGAGCACTGCAGACCTGGCAAGGAGAAAAGGAGATCTTCTTGTCGGCCATGCCGCAGCAGTGGCAAAGGGCCGGGTGTGGGGTACCTTGGATGTGGCAGCAGCTGCACAGAGGGGTCAGTGGAGCTGGGAGTGAGGCGGGTCAGCAGCGCTGGGGTCCTGGTCTGCCCCCGGCTCGGCAGGACGGGCCGCGGGGGCACAGAAGGGCGACAGTGGCTGGGCTGGCCCCCATCACCCACCCAGACCCACCGCCCGAGGAGAAGGGAGAGCACAGGG